CGATTAAATCGCTCTGGATTATATATTACGGCAAGTATTTCAATAAAGCCTTGTAAGTACTTTAACAAAAACACAGATGAAGTTTGTATAAAGTTATTTAATTAATAATAAAGGTATTAAACTAAGTTTTTAATAAACGAAATACCTGTTTTCTTGTACCCGTTAGAAGTAACAATATACGTAAACGAAATTTACATATACATTTTTTGATTACCGATTAAATGATACGAGAAATAAGATTATTATTATAAAAAGTTAATCGTTAAAGTTTATCAGCGACTAAGTATGCTACCGTATCGAAATATAAAGTTATAAATCGAAAAAAAGCCGCCCGTTTTATTCATAAAGTAGTAGTTATTATGATAACCACGTTGTTATTTAAGAGATATACTATGTAAATATAGTAGCTTAATAATAATAAAGTTATTTATACTATTAAAAGTATTTTCGTTATAACGCTAGAAGTACGGAGGGAAAAAGAAGATTAAAGCCTTTACGACATTTATATATATATATTAATAGCCTTATAAAAATAAATATTAAAGCTTTAACGGCATTTATTTCTTTATATATAAAGTCTTACGAAGAAAAGCCTTTTAATTATCGCGGTAAAGGTACGTAAAGAAGAAGTTTTTTTCGAAGGCATACGAAAAGCATTTTTACGATAAAGGCATTACGAGAAGTTTTTTAATGATAAAAGCACTGAAAAAAGAAGCCTTTTAATTATTACGGTAAAGGCATACAAATAAAAGCATTTTTATTATTATGGTAATAGTAACTAAAAGATAACCTTTATAAAGGTATATATATATATTTACGGATCCAGGCGTTATGATGAACGATAGTAAAAGCTGTTATATAATAGTAAATGTATTGAGGGTTTTAGTTTAAGAAATAAAGCTTTAGTTATAAAGATTTAAAAACGCGGAAGTCTTTTACAAAAGTATAATATAAATTACGATAAAGTTATAAAACCTTTACAACGATAAAAACATATATTATTCTATAAATATAACGTTTAAAAAGTTTAAAAACTCTTTATATAATACGGGTTTCGAGCTTATTATAAATAAAAGGAGCTGTATAAGGCTATCGAGCTTATTAAAGGATTAAAAACTTATTCAAGCAGTTAGCTAGCTAAGCAATACTATATAAATATTATTAAACGTAACGGCTTACCGCTTATTACGTTAAAAAATATTATTACTCGTTCGATTCTTTTTTTCTTCAAATTTAAACGTTTTAACTTAATTAAAGCGATTAAAGTATGCTATAATTAATAAGGCAATTATCTATGTTATTGAAGATTTTACCGTAGTAGTATAAATATACCTTTTTTTTTATTCGAGAGATAATATCGCTGTTAAAACTTAGTTTTATCGCGATTTTAAGCTTTTGAAAGCTTGTTATAGGTACTTCAACATTCATTATTAGCTAATATTTATATTATAAAAAGATTAGTACTACAAATATTATCCAAGGTAATAAGCTTACCGTCTGCCTCGTTTAAAAATAGTATTATTATTCAAACGAAACTTGTGTTATACTCTCGAGCTTTTTAAAAGCTAAATAAGGCTATCGAGCTAGTTGAAAGCTTGTTAAAGCTATTTAAATAATCAAGCAGTTACAACGTACGTAGTAACGGCTTTTACTACGACATACTACGTTTTTATTTAAGTTAGAAACAGACCGAATAAACCGATTAAACTATATAAGAGCTATAAAGGCGTATAAGAAATGTGGTGGCTTTAATAGTTAATAAGGTTAATGAAAGCAAATTTTTTAAAAAAATTATACGCTTTCAAAATAAGCCTTGCTTTATAATTTATATATATATATTTAATACTAAATCAGCCCTTTTGGGCTATAGTTAAAACACGTAATTAATTCAGCTTAATTTAACCTTATATTAAACCTCAAAATATAAGAAGATATAATAAATTGAAAATATAAGTCATTTTTATATAACACTTAATCGTAATAACTATTTACCTCAAAAAGCTTTTCCTTTTAATTAAAGGTAACCGATAATTATTTAATCAAACGCGACCAGTAAATATAATAATCCAAAATTATATAATATCATTAGACGAAACTCGTTCGTACTGGCCGTTTAATTATTTACATTGATATACTAGTTAAAACGAGTATAATAAATCAAAGTTAAATAACGGAGCTGACAAGCGAGTTGGCATTACAAGCGAGTTGGCACTTGTCATAAACTCTCTAACTGTCATGTCAAATAACTTCACCACAACGCACTCAATTCAATTCAATCAATCGGATTCCTCTTCCTTAGAGGTTTCTATCTCTATTGTACAAGTTCGCGCATTATGACCAGTGTGCCGCAAACGCCACACCGTCGCTCACGCGCTGCTGCCCTCCTTGGACGACGACTACTTTCTGTCAGATTTGAGCCAATTGTCAGAGTGAAGTGTGTGTGTATTCTCTCTGTCTAGAGTTTCCTTGTGCGACCGTGGCAGTTTTGTGCCAGAGGGGACTGGATCGGGACGGAACAACTAGGTTCTGTTGTCTACCTGTCAAGGTGCCTTCTAAGCGTACCTTTAATCCAACACTTTCACACATTTATTGGATAATAGGGGTCATGAAGATGAGCCGAGTCCGACCGGAAAAACCACGGTACGGCAGAGATGGCCAACACTAAACTGGAAACCGATCATAGGCTCCTGAACAGACAGAACAGATACAACACTTTGTGATGCAATACACCAATAATCACCCTGTATTTACTGAACTCGCTTAAATCTGACAACATTTCCTGGCTTGCCAGCTCAGTACCATCCTTTATAGCCTGAAGACTTACTGTATTTTTAATAGAAAGTATTTCTCTTTTTATCAGACGGGTTTTTTTTTGGGGGGCGTTTACTTAGTAAATGATTATCTTCCTTTAGCTCACGGATCCAGGAATCAATCAAAGCGACCTTGTGTATAAGACCATATCATATATAGCCTCTAAAAACGAGCTTAATGCATTGATTGTTGATACATATGAGCTTTCTTAGTGATTCCTGACTCAATTTTGAATATAAACCAATTGGTTTACCGCTTCATTAATGGTGGTAGGCGTCTTTGAAGTCCAAGTAGTGGGTGGCAGATTAGGGTCTGGCGGCGGTGTTCGTATGACAGCGACAGCATCCAGCTTTGAAATGACACTTTCTGGGTCAAAAGGAACAAAGCCAATGGCACTAAACCCTGTTCGAACGTTTTCCGTTGTTATAGCAGCATTATGTGCTTCATAAAACACTACGAGAAAGTCCTCCTTTAAAACATTGGGTTATATGATGCCGGATGGGATCCTTAATTGAGCGACCATAAGCTCGTTTAAGTGGGCTGAAACAACTGACATCTAAAGGCTAGAGCCTATATGACGAATGGGCAGGCATACAAAGAGTAATAATGCCATTATTCTGGCAATGATTCTCAAAGACCTGGAAATAAATGGTGGCTTTTATGACCATCCAGGATGAGGAGGCGTTTACCGGCAGTCATACGCGGTCTGGTATACTTATCGAAATGCTGAATCTATTTCAAACCGATCTCATTCGTAGTCCACCCATTGTCGGACACGGCAACCTTCCAATCGCGTGGTAATGTCGTGTCGTGATACTATGACACAAGGTGGGTTTTGCCCTGTAAAGTAATGAATGCCGGAACCACCTAAGCACTAGCATTAATAATGGAAATTACTATAGACCATTCTTTGTTACTTTGCTAAGCTTGTTTAGGCCTGTCACGTCTTTTGGCGCTTATAATGACCATGCTGGACCCAATAATGCCCATTATAAACCTAGTCTCATTGAAGTTATAAATATCTGTGTCTTAGATACCATGTTTCGCGATTGCTGCCGCAATTTGGCAAAACCACGCGTGATACACATTTAGATCTTTGTTCAAGACCCTCTGGTAGTCCTTCCTCTGATAAAAACGCGTCTAGAGGCCTGGTATGTGTTTAATGAAGTTCCATGTCTAGTTCTTTTTAACACGTCCAGCCCCACATGCTGCCAATAATTGATTTATTATATCTTTAACATAACTGTGCCGGGATAGAAATGCTCTCACATCCAGGCCAAGAATAAAGGAAAGAATGGCATTCTCTTCAGAAACCGTAATTTCAAAGTATTGGGCATGCTGTTGCGTCGTGATGGCATTTCTTTGATTATATTGCTCAAAGTGGAACAAGGGATGAACGAGTTTCGCAAGCTGAAATATAGAAATATGAGGGTCACGTCGTTTAACTTGAACAGCTAGCTGTAAGTCTGATTCGTTATAACTCGGTGCCATTGTTGTTGGTGGAGATATAATGGTTTGAATCGTGTTAGTTGAAAAGTTCATTACAAGTGCTAACTCGCTTATAATGCCAACTCGCTTGTCAGCTACGTTGACATTTCTATACGAAACTTAATGGTAGTAACTATTTAGTTTAATAAATAAGCTATAATAAGTTATTATAAGTAGTTTTTACCAGTGGTTAATTAAAGTAAGGTATAAAAAACCTTTTTAAAAAGATAATATTATATTTATTTTAAACCTTAATAAGTCTTCGTACAACGCCCGTTTAAGAACTAACGGTATCTTATTTATCGAATTGCAATAATTCCACTGGAATAAGTATTAGAAGTACCTTATAAAACCAGAGTTGCTTATTACTTTCTTTTCTTGCCAGTTTCTCAATCTCCACGTGCGACCTGGAATCCTCTCAGCATGGCGCACCGACACTTATGAGGGCTGAGTGTACCAAAGATTGAGTTCCACCCATTGTTTTCCCGCCTGCCACCGCGTGATCATCGACTTCATGCCCCCAACGTCCCACGGGTTGTGGGGCATTATGGCATTGGGCTTGTCAATGTCGACCAGGTTGAAGGTGAACGACCCTCCGCACTCGGCCCGAGTTGGCACCGGCCGTCATCGACATTTCCCGGTCGTGGCTGACGCCTGGCATCTCGCCGACTGTGATGGGTATCACGCTTGTTCAACACCTCTCAGTGCATCTCTCGCCGATATTCATGCAGCTCCGGCCGGTTCACGAAGTACTCCGTGGCGGGCTGATACCTGTGGCCCAATCCGGGTACCTCACTGGCGTCGGTATTCTCGGGCACCTTCGAGATCAGGTTCATGACATGCACTGCAACACCCCGAGTAATATACCGAAGTGTGTCTCCCTGCGCAATTGGAGGGTCGACGACAAGGCCCATTATCAGCTTCAACCCGCCCGGCCAGCTCGGCGATCAGCTCGTTGACGTCGGCCAGCGTGCCGTATCGATGGTCGACCTGTGTTAACTTTAGGGTCGGGGATGGCCACCTGATGTCGCGCCAGGGTGAGCTGAATCAAGGCCGGATGGACCTGTTACACGACCATTTCTTCACCTGGGCATGGAGCAAGAGGGATACCGGAGGCGCCCGCAGCAGTGGCCGGGCGAAAGAACAAAATAACTGGTTATTATTTCTTAAGCTGACACCAGACGCCGAGCCGTAAAGCAGGATACCTAACTGGCCAATAGGGGGTTTCGGGTTTCGGGTTTCGGGTTTCGGGTTTCGGGAAATCCGACGGCCCGACCATCCCGGAACCCGCCCATTGCTGTAATCACAGCTTTCTCATCAAATAAAACCTACAGACTCCCACGGTTTTTGGAGCACATGGATATCCCAATGATACTTGCCTAGCTTCTTGTAATACAGCACCTCGTCCAGACCTTGTGACCGGCCGGGAGAGACCATGGAGCGTGGTGTGACCTCGGCATCGGCATCGGCATCAGCACCGGCAGACGGCACCGTTGCGCCGTACAGTCAAGCCTGCGTGAACTGTTCTCGGGCCAAGTGCAGATGCATCGTCCGGGGGCACGGCGGTCGCTGTGAAAGGTAAGGAGGTGAGGGCTGTCCCGGCGTGTTTTGGTTGATGTTTCGCTTGCTGAGCAGGACTGTCGCCCAGATGCCACCGCCTGGGCAAAGAATGCACCCCGGCTACGAGCGCCCGAAGGCGTGGGGCGAGGGTGAGGCGCGCCCAGCTCGAGGACAAACTCGACAGTCTGGTCTCCCTGCTGCAGGCACAGCACTCGGCCAAGTCGCCCACACATGCCCCTTATGATGAGCCATCGACCCTGTCGTCTCAGCCTCGCCAGGTCTTGACACCCGCAACTACTACAGCCTCCGGGCCCGTCGCCGGCCTGTCTCCCGGCTCAAGTACCGCTGATAGCGACGACGGGATACCCTCGAAGCAGGCTGACGAGTTCTTCCATCGTTTCCGCAACCATCACCTCGAGCTATTCCCATTCCTCTACCTCCCAGCCGAGGTAACCGCCGAACATCTCCAGCGCGAAACCCCGTTTCTGTGGTTAAGCATCCGAGCAGTCTGTACGAGATTACACGCCAAGCAGGACGAGCTCGGCCACCGGATACGTGAGACGTTGGCAAGGCAGGTTGTGGTCGAAGGGGAACGCAGCATGGACCTGCTCCTAGGCTTACTCACCTATATGTCTTGGTGAGACGCCCCGGTGGTCCCAACACACTATGAGTGGCTGATCATGTCCCAAAGGGCCTACTATTTTGCGCGCCGTTCCAAAACGAGCCTTCGCATGTTGGCCGGCATCGCCATGTCACTCGTGTCTGACCTGCAGATCAACCAACCCGAGGGCGAGCAACCTAGCATGACGAATCCTGGAGTGTCTAGACCTCTCGCCAGCACCAGGACGCGCACCAACCAGGATAGGCGGGCCTTGTTGTCGTGCTTCATACTCACTTCCTCTATCCAGACCTTGCTCACCGGGGGTTTCGACCTGTGTCTCACGCCACACGTCAGACATGCCGGTGATGCGTTGACGACCTTGTCACCTTGCGAAACTGGCAGAAGAAGGAGAGTGCCAGGGAGACATGATGCTCGTAGCCATCGTTCGCATTCTCAAGGTGGCCGACGAAGCCGTCAAGGTATGTAGCTCGGGCGACGTGGACCGTACCATGTCGCCCCTGCTTTACGTCGGAGCACTGCGAGCAACGCTACAGCAGGCTGTGAGCAAACTTCCCCCGGAGCTTCTGAACCATAGTAAGTACCATGGCCAGCATCCTTCGGCACGTTCTGACCCGCCACAGAAATCGTCCTGTCTCACCTGTACACCACCTAAGTGTTGATCAACGAAATAGCCTTGTTTCTGCCATCATCATTCTCCTTCTATCGCCATTTCGAAGTTCGGCGCCTCGAGTATCTTCACGCCTGTCTGCAGTCTTCTAAGGCGGGCCTGGATAACTTCCTCTCTTACGACATAGCCCAGTATCCAGCCATGCCCATGTCGGTTGGCCTGGGCTTCTCTCATGCCCTACAGGTACTCTATCGACTCTCGCTCCTTAACGAGCCGGGCTGGGACCTTGTGGCCGTGAGAGAGACGGCTGACGTGCTTCTTTACCTGGACCAGATCGCTCGCATCTTTGAAGAGATTCACGAGAGCCTGGCGCCGGCGAGCGGACACGCCGAGTCTAACATTTTCTCGCGAGTCTCCGATGCGATGCGGGCTTTCATTCCCGTGTGGGCAGCAGCATTAGAGAGAGCCGGTGCCCCGTCCCCTGTGAGGGAGACGGCAGTAGTTGAACCTGTGGACCTTGCCCTGATGGATTTCACGAATGATCTGTGGCTACAAGATGTTTTCGGCTCGTGGGGAGGCTAACCACTAAAGCCCCGTGGTCATTCTTGTTTGAAAGCAAAGAATTACAGTCACCCCCCATAAGTCTCCTTCCGGCATCCCTCGATCAATCGTGGATATTAATGCTGCATTCATATCAATGGAATAAGTACCCTGGAATAAGCAGCTTTACCTGAAAATGCCACTTTTTATGCTTATTCCGGAGTGCTTATTTCATTATAATGAATATACTCCAGGCTTGCTGATCGAGGGATGTACGCATACTTTTGGGTGTTCAGTGTTAAGACAACGTCTCTTACCTAAGCCTTTTTATCTTCTTGGGCGTATCCCTGTGCTTATGCCGTACCATGAGATCATCACGACTACATGCGTGTGTATAAGGAGCTATAACACGCGTGCCTTTACCGACCGAAGCTTTATGCCATGGACAGTTGAACCTAAGTCCTCTAGGCTGCCATGCACCAGTACTACGCCGATCCTCGTGATTGAGCCCCTCTCCTCGCCAATCATCCGAACCTACGGTGATAGTTTATCGAGCGATGGTGTCTCGTCTGGTCGATGCCAGCATGGTAGGTTCAGGGCGGTTCTTGCTTCAGGCTGGGTCTGGTCTCGTTTGCGCCTAAGCACAAGGGTCTGCGCCCCACGAAAGCCAGACCTGTCGCCAGCATCGGACTTCTTCGTCTGACAATCGAGGACGACCAAGGATGACCCGCCCCGACTGGGCAGCACGGCACCACTTCCAAGCATTCTGTGCCTGTCCTCTGTAGGACGCAAAGCCATATCGTATTTGCCGAATGGTCTGGTCCTCGTAGATGACGGCCACTTCGTCGGTGTCGAAGGTGGATAGATCGGTGAAGAAGATGGCGAGATAGTTCTCATCCACTATCTCCCGAGGCCCTTCGAAGAGGATGACTCTGGACCTCTCGGATGACGATTCTTCGGCTGTCTTGATTCGGTTCGGCCGGAGAAAGGGCCGCATTCCGGCTACCACCCAGTCTCCTCTGGTCCTTTGGACGGTCAAGGTATCCACACTGTATTTCGTTCCCAGAACACGATCTTCGCCGCGGCAGTGGCGTGCTGGTGATCCGGTGCGTTCACGTTGCACGCGTACACCTTTCCTACATCGCGGATGCTGCTAAATAGCATGGATATGTCGCATCGGGGAGGGAGGTTGGTGATATAGACCGGAGTGATCTGGTCATCCCGAAAGTCAGCAGATTGGTTATTCGGGTTGAGTGAATTCCCCGTGTAGTTGTTGCTGGTGGGATGACGATCGTAATCATCGATGTATATATGTTGCTGGGGTACACTGCCGTGTGATAGATTGTAGATCTCCTCGTTGTCATGGTGGTGTCCGGCAGTCCCAGTTCCCACAAGCCCTCGGCGATGGGGAGGAATATATCGTGGACCAAGAGGGTCATCGGGAGATGCAGCAGGATAGTCGAGAGAAGGGGCGTCATTATAAGCAGGAGAATACAGCTGCCCCGGATTTACGTTTCCAGCAGGTGCTGTGTCTGGGAAGAATCGCAAGCCGAATTCTGGCCGTATGGCGCTATGGTCAAATGCGCTTGGTTGAGTTCTCATTTGTGCGGTGGGCGACGAGAACAAGTGGGTTCGAATCCTGCTACGGCCCCCTTCTGACCCGGCTTGTGCGAGTCGATACCAGCACACGACAGTAGAGAGAGGCCCCATTATCGCAGAGCCCGATAGCCAAGCAGCTTGTCTCCATAACACCCACTCCTGCGAGGTTTTTCCCCTTGTGGTTTCCCTCGCCAGCAGATAATAAACACCTATTTCACCCACCAATGCGACATATATCGAACGGCTACTGGAACGATGTGTACACCAGAGGACTGAGGTTCACTGGGTCGCTTTGTCACTGGACAGGAGGTTTTTCTGACGGAATCGTGCTTGGGTATTAAATAGACTAAAATTATCTGGACACTCCAGATTGGTACCGCTACAGCGAGGATAGGCTCGTGCGCGGATCTGAATGTATCTAGACTGACACCTTTACAACCTTGCGATACAATGGCTCTGGGAGGCATGGTTTGCCCTGTTGAGGGACTGCACCCACGATAAATAAATAAAATCAATCAATCAATCAAGCCGAATTTCCCAAACGGACCCCTAGTCTGGTCGTCGAACTCGTGACCGAGCAAAATGACGCGATCGGGGAATCCAAATGGGTCACGGTATACCCAAGTGCCTGTATCCCTTGGCTGACTAGTGGTAGAAGCAACCGAGCCCCCACGTACCATGCCTTGTGCGTCGCTCGCGTTGGGATCCATGGTCCTTTGCAGTCAATGCTTAATACTTCGGTTGTGTCCGGACGTTGGGGAAGGCAATGTGTCGTAGTGAGAAAGGGCCCTGAGGACGGGTAGTGTGAGGAAAGGGATTGATCTCGTTAGATGGGTGGAAATTTGAGAGGGAGGAGACGTGCCAGAGGGGTGATAAAAGTATGAAAGCACAAGGAAGTGCCAGACCGAATCTGTCGGGTAAAACTATTTACAGATATAGACCTGAGGCAGCATCTTGGCGCCCTTGGTAAATGTCAGCTGCATCCAACCGCCCTCACCACTATAGATAGTGGTCAATTTCGACATTGAGGAGGCAGTAGGGCAGCCATAGTATTTGTTTGCTTCCCTATGACTCTATGATGATGACCATGTCAACCCTGTCGCGGAATTGGGGCCCGGAATAAAACACTGCTGGTTATTATAAGCTTCTCACTGGTGATTTGCACTGGTAGACAACCTCCCAAGTCAGAAGACTGCAGTCCTTGTGCTTTCCATCAAGTCACGAGAGGAGAGACAACAGAAGAATACCCGTGGGACCAACACCGTCACCAGCCCGATGGGCCATGCAGTAGCTAACTTTAAGGCGCAGGAGCCATTAGGCTTGGAGGTCACAACTGTTGTTACGGCTTGGACGCTTGCGTAACGGCGGTTGTTGGCCTGTGTCTCACAGGCTCCCACTTATGCGTCCACGGTTACGCTATGTCTCGTCACCTCCATCACAGGTAAGGTGAACATTGAATCATCGATAATATAAGTTACCGCTTGGCGGACCACCGCTTTGCGGACCGCGATCGTTACATATAATACACCTTTATTTTGAAGCGATGCTTTTAACGAATATATATATATGTTGTTTTTAACGTTTTCACTTATATATATTTAAATTTGATTTAATTCATGGTTTAAAGTTATAGAACATGGATTATAAAAATTAAAAGACTATTATTTTAACCCTTTATCTCTTAAATTAATACTATTTAAAACCTCCTGTTTATAGTTATATCGTTATATTTTTATTTGTTCATTACTTCTATGCATATTATTTAGTATTATTTACGATTTAAGCTTTGACGGTTCAACTATAACCTTTTAAAATGTAAAATACAAGGCGTTATCAGTAATTAGGTAACTTCTACTAGATTATATTTTAAGGAAGTATCCTATCTATCACGTTTTTAAGATATTTTATAAGTTTAAAGGTAATTATTCCTTTAAGCAAAAGTCTTTCAATATATAAACGTGGACAATTTAAACTAAAAAAAGTGAAGTAAAAAATTCAATATGAAAAGTCGTGTGGTTTTAAACTTAAGGTTGTGTGACTTTTATTAGTTGATATTATATATTTTAAAGTAGAATATATCATGTGATTATATGTATATTTATTAGTTGTTTTAAGAATATTAGAACATCTTAATAAGGTATTAATATATATAATCTATATACATTAACGATATAGAAAACATTCTTAATTTTTTAATTAACCGTTTGAATACTTGATAGATTTTTTAGTTTTTCTTTACTAAGTAGTAATAGCGAAATATTAAATGTTAAACTTAAGTTAAAGAAATTAATGATATAATCCGTATATAATCAATAGAATAAATATGAACATTACATAAAATACAATCTTAAAGTAAACATTTTTAAATAACTTTTTATTTTCTATCATACTTATTAATTTAATTTAATTTACCTTTTTTACTAGCGCTTAGACTTTATCTAACTACTTATTAACTAATACTATGCTTATATAACATTTTAGGTTTTGTAAAACCTTATAACGTTAAATATACTTACTGAACTTAAACTTATTACCTAGCAACTAGTTAATAAAACGTTTTTTTTAACATATTAAAGAATTTTATAAATTCCATAAGTCTAAAAAGGGTTACAAGTTTATATTAAAATTTAAATTGTTAATATATATGAAGTTTTTACATTACTCGTGTGACGGTGTACAGCTGTATCCACCTGATTGGATGCTGAGTCATCAGGTCACGTGTAGATTAGATAATGAGACCAGGACCAAATGTGCTGCAGCCTCGGCTGTACGCACACCTGTTCCTTTTCTTCCACCTTGTTATTTTCGTAATCAACACCAGATTGCAACACAACGCCGCAGGCATCGTGACAACTCGTGTATATCTTTTAGTCGCGTAATTGGAAGCGAACTTACGTACACTTTCGTTTTATTAAGTACATAATATTCAATTTAAAATCATGTAAAAATAGTTTATAAATTTACAAACGCACAATTTAATTTTATTTTAATCGTAGTTAAGAATTGAAATAAACATTATTACTTATTATTCCTATAAAGCTTTTATACTTAGCCTTATACTCTTTAATAATAAGTAATTAAAACTTAACTAATTAAACAATTAGATAGCTTAATATTTAACATATATTCACTTTATAATAAACTTCTCTTCGTTTTAATTAAAAACCAAGCTATTCTATACTATTCTAAAAGTCTTAAATCATTCATAGTCATGACCTTTTTTGACAATTAATATTAAATCAAAAAGCTGTTCATACCTCTTAAATAACCCGCGACTTTTATAATTATAATCTATTATTCTTCGCTTAAATTTATTATGGAATATACTGAAGTAAATAAAATATAACTTAAGTCAAAGCGTATAATATATATTAATAAAAAAGCATCTTTGAATATTTTCTGGCTTAAAACTTTTTTCATTATAAGGGTTAAAAAAGCAGATTATAATGGTACTAGTTTCGATTTATTTATATCAGTTATTTAAACCTCTAAAAACATTATTATTAACTTATACACACGGCCTTCATAAGAACATCACGTATTACTTATACGTTTAAACTTAAATAAACGTAGTTTAAATTTATAATGAATATATTTTAAAGGGGTATGTCAAGTTTAACCGCTGGATTAAAAAACTAATTTATATACAAGTTTTATAATAGTTGTTCTCGTTTATTATTTATTATTAATCGACATCTTAAGATCTTAAATATAAAAGACTTTTTCGTAAGTTCGTTCAAGATTCTCCCACTTAAATATTAATTGCTTATTTTAAACTATATAGTTTTTTAATACCTTAATAAATCTGATAAGATCGTATTAATATTTGTTGTTTTATTGAAATAACGTAGCTGACAAGCGAGTTGACATTACAAGCGAGTTGGCACTCGTCATGAACTCTCCAACTGCCATGTCAAATAACTTCACCACAACGCATTCAGTTCAATTCAATCAATCGGATTCCTCTTCCTCAGAGGTTTCTATCTCTATTGTACAAGTTCGCGCATTATGGCCAGTATTGCCGCAAATACCACACCGTCGTCCACGCGCTACCGCCCGCCTCGGACGATGACTACTTTCACCCATTTCCTGTTTTGCCAGCTCAGTACCATCCTTTGCAGCCTAAAGATCTATTGTATCTTCAACAGAAAGTACTTCTCTTTTTATTAGACGTTTATTTTTTGTTCTCTGGCATTTACTTAGTAGGTGATTGGCCTCTTCTAGTTCGCGGACCCAGGAATCAACCAAAGCGACCTTATGCATAAGACCGTATGTAGCCTTTGAAAACGAGCTTAATGCATCAATTATTGATGTAGGTGAGCTTCCCTGGTGGTTTCTGACTCAGTTTCGGATATAAACCGATTGGTTTACCGCTTCGTTAATGGTGGTAGGCGTCTT